TAAATCTTGAGAATGACCTGTGTTTTAGGTCTGCTTTATGGTTCAATAAATTAGAATATTACTGACAAGTTTATTTATTCAGAAACTCCATCACCAAGTGATACACATTATTAATTAGACAGAGAATGATTACACCTTTATTTCATTTTTGTGATAATTTTCTGTAACAGGCAATGAAAACGTGACGTTTAAAATAAAATATTACGTCAGACAATTGAACCATCAGGTCTTCAGAGCGTACTTCTGTTGTAGTTTCATAAAGTGGCCAGCAGAGGGAGGCAGTCCCACACTGACCACCAGAGGGAGGCAGTTACACAGAGTGAACAGCGGGTGTCGCTGTGAGCTTATTTGGGTCAGATTGACGTCATTGTTGGGGAATGTTAAAGATGGCGCTGGACGGTCAGAGGATTGTTGCCGCAGCAACAAGCTGAAGGGATTTAATTAATCGTTCAGCCGGCACCAAGTTCCTCTTCCATCCACGGTCCGAATACTTCAGGTTCTGAACCCAAACATGAGCCCGGTAGATCCGGTCAGAGCCCGGTAACCCTGTGGTGTACCACCGGATAAAATGGTAGCCGGATCCTCGGAGAACAACAGAAGCTGCTGCGGAGTTCGGCCCACCGAGCCGGAGGATCTTACGGCCGGGGCCGACGCGTCTGTGGCGGACTGAGGGGGTCATGGAAACGCCGAAGGAGAACGGAGGCTCGGTTTCTGTGGATCTGAACGAAAACGAAGATGAGCCGGTGGCTGTGGAGGGGAAACCGGGTCCCAGGACACTGAAGGAGCGCAGCCTGACGTTGCTGACCGGTGTCAGCGGGGGTCAGGCGGCGGGCTGGACCCGGAATCCGGTGGATCTAAACGGGAAGAACGCAGCCAGAGACCCGGAGATCATGCTGGTAGCTCCGGAGGACGGGTACCTGTCCGGCCCGGTGGTGTTGGGCGGTGTGAACGGGTTTTCCCTGGAAGCAGAGGAGCGGAGAGAAGCAGGAGGTCCGGCCGTTTCCTCTCCAGCTGCGCTCCAGGAGGAAGGAGACTCTTCTCACCCCCAGGACCAGCGCTCATGTCCAGGGAAGCCGAACTGGACCTCCGCGAGTGTAAACATGTCCAACGGGGTAGCTGACAGTCCTGAGGCGGCGGTCCGGTGTCTGGGTCAGAGACTGGGTCAGTGTGAGCTGGGCTGTGAGGAGGTGAAAGTAGCTAACGGTGGTTTGCACATGATGAGCCCCGGTTCTGAGTGGCCCGGTTCCGATTACTTCCCTGTGAACAGACACTCTGACCCAGGGTTCAGGCGGAACCGCTCCCCCAGCTGGGGCGACCCCAGATCCGGTCCACTATCCACCCCGGAACCGAGCCCCGGCCCCGCGTCGCCCTGCCCGTCCAGCCCGCTGTCCGAACCCAACACCCGGCAGGAGGACGAGGAGCCGCTCGGTGACCCGGATGTTCCCGCCAGGCCGCAGAGTCTGAGGACTAACCCCGCAGCCAGCGTGTCCCGCAGCTGTGACGCCACCCCGCTGTCCCCTGATGAGGACAGGGGGTTCAACTTTGACCCCGAGGCGGGTCGGAGGCAGAGCGCCCCGGACAAGCTGAGCGAGGAGACCGGGGGTTCTGAGCTCACAGTGATGCCCAAAAGGTTCGGCATCGCTGACTTCTTCACCAGGTAAGGGTCCGGGTTTACCTTTAACCCCTCCAGCAACCAGGTCCAGTTCCACCTTTTGGAGGTTTGACTTCCAAGCAGCACTAAAGGTCATTGCTAACAGAGCTGGTTGTTCACAGAGAGCCAAGCGTTTTCATGGAAAGTTCAGTGGAAGGAAAAAATGTAGTCTAAAAAGATGCAAAACAAAACTTCCCCTTCAAAAGGTAGACTATTGAGAACATCTAGATCCACTATGCTCAGATGGATCCTAAGCATGGGCTTCAAGAGTGATCTGGGCTGAGGAGAACCAGAACCAGAACTGGATCACTACCGTATTTTCCGCACTATAAGGCGGACCGGATTATAAGGCGCACTGTCGGCTTTTGAGGAAATTGAAGGTTTTTAGGTGCGGAAAATACTGTACTCAGATGTCCAGAGTCATACAGTTTTAATTTCAGAGTTCCTGAATCTGCAGGACCAGAATTCATGTTACTTCACCACTAGCAGTGATGATCTGGGTCGCCAGGTCGTCTGCTGGTTCTGCTCCACTGGGCTTTCAGAAGTCAGGATGACAGACACCAGAACCGATGATGCAGACGACCTGAAGGCAGCTAACAGAGCAATCTGATGTTCCAGAACCTCAGCAGAACCACGCCACGCTGCATTGATGCAGGAATTCATGCAAAAGGAGCCCAGACCCGGTTCTGCACTCATGGTTCTGGACTGAAATTATCAGATCCACCTGGAGAAAGTCCAGGTTCTGTTCTGCATGTAATATTCATTCAAGTTCTGCATTAAAAGGACCTTTATTGTTGATTTGGACCAGAACTTTGTGATTTGATCCAGACCATCTGACCGAACAGAACCGTCCGCTCTGCTCCAGGTCCGATCACATGTTCTCTGCTCCTCAGCAGCTCACAGTCATGGGATCATGAAGACCAGAACCGACCCGACCCGTTCATGTATCTGTGATGAAAGCCTTCCTCTGAGCTTCAGCACCTCAAGGTTCTGTCAGAACAATCCGGTCCAGACAGAGAGGGCGGTTCTGGTCGTCATCTGGGTTCTGTCTGGAGTTCAGTTCTGGCTTTTTTGCTCATGATTAAATCAAAACATTGATTGGTAAACAAAAGAAAGCTGCAGAACTTTAGTTCAATCTCTTGGTTCTGGTACCACTTTGATAAATAAATCATTTTAGTGACGTTTTATTTTCATGTTGCTTCGTCCAGAACCAGAACAAGCTTCATTTATTCAGAGAACTGCAGGTTCGGAGCAGCTGGTAGCTCCAGAACCTGATGGTTCTGCAGACCTGGACCGGCAGGTGTGGAGTTAAATCTCCATCTGCTGGAGCGGTGCTGCTGGTTTGGACCCGGGCCAGAGCAGCTGGCTGGAATTTCACACAGAGCCGCAGGAAATCCAGGCAGACAGAGGAATGAAGGCTCAGGGAGTCCAGGAGCTCCGGTTCTGATCCGACTAACACACAGCAGCGTCTGGGTTTTAGCTTGGTGGAGCCGGTTCTGTTGGTGTCCAGTTAAACCACTTCTGGTTCTGAGTGGGACCAGCTGTCCTTCCACTCAGTAACAACTGACTCAGTGAGTTCAACTTCCTGTTTCTGATCCGGTTCTGTTTCACTTGTTGCATCACAGCCACATGTGGAACAATGGAGAGGAATACTTGGTTCTGTTTGGGCCCGGTTCTGCTCGGTTGGTGCTGCGCCGGCTTCACTCTGAAACAGACGCTGCTGGAGTCTAATTAAAGTACAGCAGGGTTCATATTGACATCACTAAAGCAACGGTTGGTTTCTGTCAGGCTCTGCTTTCACTTCTCTTAATGCAGGGGTGTCAAAGTGAGGGTCGGGGGCCATTTGTGGCCCTTGGATTAGTTTTGTGTGGCCCCAGTATGCAATGTAAGAATGGCACAAATTTAGCCCTGTCAGAATAAGTTGTATCACAAACATCTAGCAAGATTTTACTCAAAAACAGACTTGGTCATGCCCTTCCATTATATTTAACTAAATACAGCAAAGTTTGTAGAAGAAACTAAAAACACTTTATAGACTTAAAAAATGGAAAAATAATTAGCTTAAAAAGTTAAATGATTGTAAAAGTTAAGACAGACAAAATATTACATGTTTTATTTATTGCTGTGCAGGTAAAAGAGAAATAATTCACAATAATAATTTTGTGTTTTTAATTGGGGGGAAAAAAAGGAAACATTTTTTTTCCTGAATATTTTCAACATGGAGATTTTGGCCCTCGGTGTAAGGGCCACTGTCTTAAAGCTTCGTCCTAGCATAGCAGTGAAGGGAAGCAGATAAAAATCTCATATATGCTAAAGCTAACTGATCAGTTCTGGTTCTGTTTTCAATTGTAAAGATGATGATGTTCTGGATCCACTGGAGGCAAAGTGTCTTTGTTTACATCATCAGCTAATGCTAACTCTTTGTGAGCACACCTGAATCAGTGCTTCAAATTGACCTCAGGTCGTGTGAATGCTTGAAAATCACCAACAGATGTTAGATTAATAAATATCAGCTGAAATCCTGAGTAGAAAACTTCTGGACTCTTTTTGTTTCCCGAAGTTGTTTCTCCAGAACGATCTCACTAATTGGTTCGTTAGGGTCACATGACTCCCTCAGTTCAGCCTGTGGGTCGTCGTCTCCTGGAAACCCAAACAGGTTCATACCGACTCCAACGTGTTGGGGTCACATCTAAAGGTCAAGATGGTTCAGATCCGCCTGGGGAGACGAGTCCAGCTGCGCTGCAGGTGTTAGAAAGATGGAACCAGAAACGCCTGATCAGTGTAGATGTATCACTCTGAGTTGTTTCCTGACGGAAACGTCTGAGTGTTGAACTTTCTGGTGAGCAGAAACCGTTTCCATGGAGACGTTAAGAGTCGTTGTTCATAAATCCTCCTGGTTTCTCCTCTTCATGCCTCCTGTCAGCTGACCTGGACTTTTCCACTGAAGAGAATGTAAAAGTGTTGATCTCACTGCTTTTTCACTCATTTTTCCACTAACGTTAACATCGGTGCAGAAACTGCTGCTGCTGCACAAATACGGCCCCCTGTTTGTAACCGCAGTCATTGCTTAACTTTTCTTTAAGGAACTGAAACGATTTTCTGTAGTTTTGTTTAGTCTGACACCAACAGTGATGCCTGTTCTGTTCATGAAACGACCAACAGATTGACATGTTGACTATAGAAAAGTGCCATTTCTAATTCTTGCTTTATCCATTTTAGCAGCTTTTAATTGTTTTATCATCATTCAGAAGAAGATTATGTGTAAAACCTTCAAAAATTGAAACAGATCATTTTGATATATTTTCTCAAGTCGAGTTTGTTCTGCTGTTCATCAGTTTAACATTTAATTTGCTAAAGTTTCCTCTGACTTTTGTTTTCCATTAAAACAGCTTGTGAACCACAGGATGACTCAGTTGGTATATTAAAAACACTGCAACATTTTAATGTTGCTTTGTTCAAAAGAGAACATTTAACAAGAAAATATGATAAAATATAGTTTTTAAAAAGCAAATTCTACAAAATAAGTTGAGGTTTATTAAGTCCTAACCTGATCTTCAATTTCTTGGTCCAAACAGGCTAGCTAAATGCTAACCCAGCTTTATCAGCTAATGATGACATGCTAATCGCTGATCATTTTAATTAGGAAACAAGCTGCTGTTTATTAAGTCGCCTAAATTGAAAGATTAACAGAATTTGTTGTAAAACTTTTTTTATCAAAACATTGAGGCAAATTTCAGTCAATCTCTATCAATAAAGTTAGCTTGTTGGCATCAGACAGCGTCAAAACAGATGTTGGTTTTGGATATTTTGTTGCTGGAATAGAATAATATTAGAAATACAATGTACTGGTGAATATTTAGGTCAGAGTATTATTTAATGGAGCCAGGTGGTTATAGATGGTATTTAGAGAACACGTTTCCAGTTAAAAACAGATAACCAGGTCCTTGCTGTAATGGTTTGATGTTTCCTGTGGGACTGATTGACTCAGAGATCAAATCACTGGAAACATAATGAACTGAAGACAAACGGAGCCGACTGCTGAGTTACTAATGACTGCTTGAATGTTTTTCATTGTTCAAATTAAATCAACTTTAATAACAGTTTCCTTCTTTCCTTCAGGAGCCTGTTTTCTAGAAAACCCAAAGAGTCCAAGGCAGCGTCCCACAATGCAACAGGATGGCGACTGTTCAGCAAGTCAGAGAGCAGAGAGGAGGACCAGAGCGGAGAGGCGGCCATGACACCTCAGCAGGTTCGTCTGAACTCTAATAAACTCATCTGATTTAAACATTTAAATTTAAATGTCTGAAACTAATGTGCTCATCTCATAGAAAAAACTTTATTATTCATGTTTCCATTCCTTCACCCAGCATTGAATCAGGTTTCCTGTTATTTAGTCTCTTTCTTTATGAAAACCCACCTTCCGGTGTCCCACTGAGCAGACGCAGAGCAGACGCTGAGCAGGCGCTGAGCAGGCGCTGAGCAGGCGCTGAGCAGGCGCAGAGCAGGCGCAGAGCAGGCGCAGAGCAGACACAGAGCAGGCGCTGAGCAGGCGCTGAGCAGGCGCTGAGCAGGCGCTGAGCAGACGCTGAGCAGGCGCTGAGCAGAGGCTGAGCAGAGGCTGAGCAGACGCAGAGCAGACGCAGAGCAGACGCAGAGCAGACGCAGAGCAGAGGTTGAGCAGGCGCTGAGCAGAGGCTGAGCAGAGGCTGAGCAGAGGCTGAGCAGACGCAGAGCAGAGGCTGAGCAGACGCAGACGCAGAGCAGACGCAGAGCAGACGCAGAGCAGACGCAGAGCAGAGGTTGAGCAGGCGCTGAGCAGAGGCTGAGCAGAGGCTGAGCAGACGCAGAGCAGAGGCTGAGCAGACGCAGACGCAGAGCAGACGCAGAGCAGA